ATCTAAGTTTTACAAGTACTATGCAAATACATGACTACTGAATTCAAGTTCACCCATCGCTCAGTTGCTCAGGCCCCAAAGCTAGGAGTCATCCTTAATTATTCCCTATCCCTCACACTCACACCCAATCCATCTGCCTCCAAATTATGTCCACTACCAGAACCCCAGACCCAGACACCATCAGCACTCCCTGGATGATTTCAAGAGCCCCCACTGTTCTCCCTGCCTCCTCTTTTGTTCCTCTGTGGTCCGTCATCCCATGCAGCAACCCAAATGATTTTTCTCAACCATAAATCAGATCCTGTTGCTTCCTAGCTTAAAACCTTCCAGGGGACTTTCATCACGCTTGGAGTAAAACTCAATTTCCCTAGCAGAGCCTCCATGACCCTGGCTCCCACCTCTTGCTCAGACCTTCTTCTCAACACCTCAGTCACACTGGCCTTAACTCTTATTCTCAACACACTACGCGCATACCTATCTCAAGTGCTTTGCACATGCTGCTCCTTCTACGTGAAGTCTCTTCACCCAACATGCTGAAGGGCTGCCTTCTTATCAGTGAAGTATCAGCTCAAATGTCACCCCTTCTGAGAGGCCTTCCTCAACCACCCCAGTTAAAGCCATGCCACATCCCCACACCTACTCTCTCTACCACACTATTCTATTTTACCTTCCTTGTAGCACTCAGTAGCTACAACTTTCCTATTTGTGTTCTTGTTTATTTTCTGTCTCCCCAGAACTACAATATGAGCTCCACTCTTCTTGTCCACTATTGCACTCCCAGTATCTAGAACAGTGCTAGGCATATATAGTAAGATTTCAATAAACATTTTGGGAACAGTTGGCTCAAAAGGCAATTGTGTGCTCCCCCTAGTCCTCAAGATGGTGCTTCTACTCCCTCTGCCCAAATCTGAGATTGGAAGTTTGTCTACTCATCCGTTCAATCATTGATTCATTCCCTCAATTCAAACCAAGAGTTGATGACAGGACACCTGAGAAGGTACCACAGTGAACACGCAACCAGAATGACCTGTTTCCCAGCCAAAGGAATATTTTCTTACATGGCATTTTATAGAGAACTGAACTTCAGCCAAATACATCGGACTTCTCTGTAGTTAAGTGCCATCTCAGATTTACACGCAAGAGGTTACATGACTTCCCCAAGGTCACAAGATGAGAACTCACCACCCCAGTACCTCAAGGCAAAACCAAAGACCTAAAAACTGTATCTGCAAGTGCCCAGCCCCTCTTATTTACCATCCACAGTCATCTATACAAAAATAAACAATGAACACCAGAGAGTAGCATGGCTTTTCAAAACTTTCACCTCCACTGTCTTCACCGTTTCTAATCTCACTACCTGGTAGCAGGTACTGTCAAATAGAACACTTTCAACTTAAAGAACACTGTTCTCAGGATATGGCGCATTAACGCTACCCTGGTGGACAGGCTGAGTCTTGATGCCAAAGGGAAGCAGTATAGAGCAGTGCTAGGACCTCAGGCTTTGGAACCAAAAGGTGCAGAGTCAAATCATATCTGCTAACAATGAGGGCTAAGGCCCTAACCAAGTTTATTTTATTTTATTTAATAAACAATTATACAGCTTACTAGGTATAGGCAGGGTTATAGATACTTTGCAACTATAAAATGATTACTAGGGCCAGCCCAGTGGCGCAGCGGTTAAGCGCGCACATTCCACTTCGGCAGCCCGGGGTTCGCCGGTTCGGATCCCAGGTGCAGACATGGCACCGCTTGGCAAGCCATGCTGTGGCAGGCGTCCCACACAGAAAGTAGAGGAAGATGGGCACGTATGTTAGCTCAGGGTCAGCCTTCCTCAGCAAAAAGAGGCGGATTGGCAGCAGATGTTAGCTCAGAGCTAATCTTCCTCAAAAAAAAAAAATAAAATAAAACAAAATAAATAAAATGATTACTAGATAAGTCAGTGTTCTATTACTATCCATAACTTACAGATAAGGATAAAAGGCACAGAGAGGTGAAGTAACAGCTGGCAAGTATTAGAGTCAACACTCAAATTCAGATAGCGTGATGTCAAAATCCATGCCCTTAACCATTACAGTGTGTTTCCTCTCTAATCCTGTTTCTTCATCCATAAGACAGGGCTAAGAGGTCTGCCTTATTTCACAGGGTCATGAGAGATTACTGGCACACAATAAGGTAAATATGAGCTACTCTTAGTGATAGTAGTAATTGCCATCATTGTATTATCTACTTTTACCTTTGGTCCAGCCGAGGTCACAAGAAAAATATTTTGACTGATAGAGATCTTTAAGGCCTTCTGCAGTAGAATACATTAGAATATAGTGGAAGCTCCATGATGAGAACAAGAATTGTCTGCTTTGCTTATCATTGTATCCAGAGCAAGCAGTGGGTGCTGAGTAAATACATGGTGAATGCGGTAGGAATAAACTGAATGCACGGACAGGGTTCTGCGGATATGACAACCAAGGCAGTACCATCACTTCCCAAATGTAGTCAAACACAAAAAGAGGTTAATTTACAAGGTTCTCAGAGGACAGTATTAGCTGGCCATTACTTAAGACAGCTGGCTATTGGGAGGCAGTGTGGTATAATGCTGTTCATTCACCTTAGCTAAATGAACAAACAAGGAGACTTGGATTCTAATCCTGACTCTGCTACTGGAATTCACCAAGGCTCTCAAGGTCTTGGACTGTCCACCTGTAAAAGAGGGGGCTGGACCACATGATGATCATAAAAAAAAAATTCTACTTTCTCATCACTTTATATCAATCATCACAACAATCTGGGTAGAAGCTGATTACCAAGTACGCAATAAACGTTTGTCAATGAAGATCCATCACCAATTGACAGATGAGCAAACTGGGATTCAGAAATAACTTGCTCAAAGTCACAGGGCCAGGGCGGAATATGAACCAGGGCCCAGATCCCCTTCTCTATCAGTCTAACACTCATGCTTTCCAAGATCATTTTTCAGTTCAAAAATACTGTGATATAAATCCTCTCTTCCAAACTTGATAAATCTGTAATCATTTATCTTAACAAATAATCTTGCCTGACTTTGCAACATCTTAGGACAGAAGGATTAGGGAAAAAACAACTATTCCCACATTGTTAACCTATAGAATCAAAAGACTGGGAGAGATAATTAAAGCAAATCCCTCATCTTTGCCCAGAATTGAGAGATCAGAAGTATTTCAAGATAAATGATGATTTCACTTTAAACCATACAGTTTAAATTTAAGCAATGTGATTTAAAAAAATAACTTCTAGTAACACAATGCTTCCCAAAAGTATAGCACATAACTACTTTTTAAATTCTATAGTCAAAGTTATCGCACTTGATTCAAAGTAGATTCACAAAGTTTAATGTAAAAGCTTGTCAGAGAATGTCTATAAAGGCTTGCTTTATTTTTATTAACAAAATACAGGCTTGATATTGAACCTCTGAGTATAACACCTTCCTAGAGTTGTCAAGTTAGGAGTGAAAAAACCATCTGGCAGTCATAACAGGAGTCAAGGTCAAACTAACTGTTGAGTCTCTTTACCCTCCCATCTAGTAAGTGAAAAGCAACTAATTGTGAGCTCAAAATACTCCATACTGGTGCTCTCACAAATACAAACGTCAGCTCAAGGATCACACTCCAGCTCAGAAACTTCTGTGAGGACAGGCTAACAAGAACAAGGAGAACAGAGGGGTAAATAGGGCATACTCAGGTCACAGCACTTCAGTGACAGTCACAAAACAAGAACTTTCATCTACTTTCTAGGAGTTTCATCTCCTATCAAATGAGAATAATCACCTCACCAGATGAGTAAGTGAATCGAATGATATGAGGAGGAATTAAAAACGGTCTTGCAATCTTGTGCAAAGGTGAGAGACTGTTATCATTACTATTTACTACGTCTGGGCCCAGAAGATCCCCTTGCATTCTTGGCTATACTGTATGTTCTGCAGAATCCTCATAAGATGTAACAGTGCTAGTTTCTTCTGCAGACTCCAGGCCTGCGAACCGTAGATGCACCTGGCTAAGCAAGTCTCTGCTGCTGAGAGATGAGAAGCAAGACCTTCAGGCTCCGGGCTCAGCGGGCTCAACGATGACCGCGCCCCCCAGTCACCTTGTCCTCACCTTGAGGAACAGAAAGGAACCCTACGGGAGAGGAGAGTGCGGTCTTCAAAAAGGAGAAAGAGCTGCCTCCACTCTTCACCAGGCCGCCACTGCTCGGACCCACGCTTCCCGTCGAGCGGGGTCTGGGCTGTGAGAGCTGACTGAGGCGGGGACGCCTTGACCTCGGGCGCCGGAGGAGCGGGCACCGGCGCTGGGCCCGCGGTTGGGACAGGTACACGGAAAGTCGGCCAGAGGTTGGGCCCGCCTTGCCCTGCCTCGCCCACAGCCGCAGGCACAGTAGGAGGCACCCCGCCCCCGTGAAACCCGAAGGCCCTAAACTCGCTCACCTGCAGCCGGGTCACCAGTAGGCTGTAAGGCGCCATTTTGTGCACTGACAAAGATGAGGTCGCAGGAATATGACGTGCCAAAAGTCGCATTTAAAGCCTTCGGGCGGGGGGGCGTGGCCAGAGGAGAAACGCGCCGCGGCGAAGGCGGGGCCTCCGCAGAGGGACCAGCGCCCTGCGAGCGCAGTGGGCGGGGCTCTCGAACACCGGAGAGGAAAAAGTAGGGCGTAAAAGTAAATACAGGGTGCAGTGATGTCTCAGAGACGTGCAAATTTCATCTTTGCACTTTGCGATGTGTCTCTCCCATCCAAACCTGAGAAAGGTATTTTTCCTTATGACTTTCACGCACCTGCCAGGACCTGGCCCCCCAACTACGACGGAAACTCGTCTTTGGAGCCTCAGGGTTTTAATCGCGCGAGAGCGAGCGAGGCTTGGCGCAAAGATTGTAAACGGTGATGGAAGCCTGGAGGACCAATCACAGCGACCAGGAGGCAGGAATAATAGGGGTTAAAGGTCGGACGGAAGTTCACCAAGCTTCCGGTGGCCGACTTGAGTGCGAGCTATGGCTAAACATCACCCGGACTTGATCTTTTGCCGCAAGCAGGCTGGTGTTGGTGAGACGGCTTCCTGCCCCTGGCTGTCTGGGTGGGGATGGTACTAGGAACGGGAGGGCCCGGGGGTTCTTGTCTTCTTTAGGGTCTTGCTTCGGAGGCCCCACGTTTCCCGCCTCACGTCGGTAGTGTAGGAGCGCGCGGTTTTGTGGCCTCGGATGAAAAGAGGCGGGGGCGCGCGTGCTGGAAGGAGGCGAGTGGCCAGGGTGGAGCCGGGAGAAACTCAGATTGCCCAAGACGTGGGAGGGGCTTCAAGAGGGTGTGGGTTTAGTTCGGATCGAAGTTTATGAGGATAAGATGGATAAGATCCCTCAGGGTTCACTGCTGTCCCTGTTCCTGTCCCCACCCCATACTCAAGGATGTTTTTCTCGTCTTCGTCTAAACCTTAATTCTAATTATACTCTTACTGCCTTTGATCTTGCAGCCATCGGAAGACTGTGTGAAAAATGTGAGTGGAACACGCCCTGCCAGACACCCCACCTCTCCCACTCAGTTTCTGTGGAGCCAGCAAACGGGCATTTCCAGTGGTGCCACAAAGAAGGGTTTGAGTAGATGTGCCTGGAAGTATGTGGACACCGAATGCCAGGCTGCAGCCAAAGTCCCCTCCACCTCCCCACCCCAACTTGCACGTTTTAGATATTATGTTTAGGTTTTGAGAAAATCTCTAGCTTTGAACAGGAAGTAGCATGACCCCATCCCCAGCACACAGTGTTTTGCTGGTAATTATACAGACTTATCCATCAGGTGCTGTTCTAGTCTCCTTGCATATTAGGCGATTAACTTTTTCTATGTGTTGTGGGGATTGAGATGTACACCAGGTAAGCTAGGTTTTGTGATGCCAAAGTAGAGGGCCCTAAAGTCACTGTCAGAAGGAGATTGGTGTATTTCCCCATAGCAGGAGGAAGGCAGAGGACTCGAGGAGGTACTTGCAAGTGGGCATAACTCCATTCTCTTTTCCTCACAGGTGATGGCAAGTGTGTGATCTGCGACTCCTATGTGCGTCCCTGCACCCTGGTGCGCATATGTGATGAGTGTAACTACGGCTCTTACCAGGGGCGCTGCGTGATCTGTGGAGGCCCTGGCGTCTCCGATGCCTATTACTGTAAGGAGTGCACCATCCAGGAGAAGGATGTGAGTGTATTACTAACCTTTCCATCTGATCTTTCCTCCTTTTATTTAGTAACACATTGCTATCCATGGAAACCTCCTATGGTAGGTAGAGATTACTGTCTTCATCTAGTCAGGTTATAATTTTTGCAAGTTCTGTGAGCCAAACTGGGTGTAGTCCGATAAAAGGCAGTTATTTTGCATCAGGGGCAGAAATGCAGGAGAAGCAAGTCTTTGTCAACACCAGCAATTTGGAGAGCCCTCTCTCTATTCCTTTGATGTCTCTCTGATTATTTTTATTTAGAAACAACATCCTGCATTTTCTAAGTCCCAGCATAGTGCATGATATGTAATAGCCACTCAGTGATTCTCTTTGCTGTCATTAAGGACTGTCTGGGTGGATGTGGTGACATTTGAATTTGGGACAATTCAGGTTGATTTCAGCTTTAAGCGGCTAAAGAATGCCTTTGGTTTGATATTGCAGAATTGATTCTGTCTCATGATATTTTTGCCCCTTGACATTGTGTGGTGGCAGTGGCTAGTTATTCAATTCCTTGAACCAAATGCCAGGATAGAGGGCTTGTAGATTTATGCCAAAGGCAAGTTTTACCATTTTCCTTTAGATTAGAAGCAGCAGGCTTCTTGGGGGGGGAAAAACCCATAGATTAGCTTGTTTTCTTCTTATGACACAACAAAAGGAAGTGTGATATAGTACCAGTTGGCTCATAGAGGATAGCCAGTTACTTAATCTAGGGTAAGGCAAAGATATAATTCTTAATATTCTCATGAGCAAACAGTAGGTAATGTATAGATGTTACACCCCTTATTCTTCACAAGAACTTTGTTAAATAGAGATTATCATCTTCCCCATTTTATGGTCCCCCACCCTGCTGATAAGTGGCAAGCCCAGGTTGTCTGACTAAACCTAATGGTGTCCCCATTACACCATCTTGTCCTTTTGTAAGTCCTTTTGGTCGGATGTGCCTATGTTGAGGAGAAATAACCCAGCCACCTCCGCAGTCTATGCATTTGGCTGGATAAGACTGTTTCTTACACCATTGTCGTCTTTTATCTAGGGAGATGAGAAGGGTCATAGATACTAAAAACATAATTCCAGTTGGTGATTTGAACATTCTCCTGTCCTAAACTCTGATTTGCATTTCCCTCTGATTATCAAGTCATATCCTGCTTGATCTGATCCACCAGCTAGGTTACACTCCTTCAGAGAAAGGACCTGTATTTGTCTCTCCTTTCCCCCAGTTCTTGGTTCAGGGCCTGGCATGTATTGCCGGCATGGTCCACATTTTTGGTGCTGCCCTATAAGTCATGCATAGGAGATCCCCCTCCAGAGGGTCTGGTACGTAGTAGGTGTGTGGTAATTATTTATAGTCTGTAAGCAGTGAAACCATGGTAAGACCGCAGCAGTGAAGAGAAAGTCTGAGCAGTTCTTTAACTAAAGAGTCCATTAAGGACAACATTTTCTTGGACTTCTGCAGGTTTGTAGTTAGAGTTCTTATCTGGAATAAGCTTGCAACCAGAGAGTGCTTAATAAATGTTAATTGCTGTCTGACTCCTCTGCATGTGGTGTGTGACCTGATACCTTTGGATGCTTGTGCCTCATTCTGTCCCTGAGAATTATTCTAGACGTCACTTCCCCAACTTCACATTATATAGGAATGTTCTGAGGATATTTGAGATGGCATCTAGGTCACATTTACTCAGCGATAGTTTCCAAGGAACACAAAACAGTCCAGTGACATGATCCAGCCTCTGAGCCTTACAGATCATCCTGTAGATTAAGCACCTGAGACTTTTTCCTATGCAGAAATCTTCCGACAACCAAAGCAGCCCCGTCACTCTTCTTTTCTTCCTGCATCTTTCATAATTTATAAGGGAATTCGACCAGTAAACTAAGCTAAGTGTTCTCTATAGTGTCTCAGAGCCTCAAGAATACTCAGGAGTCAGGGATAATATCTGTGGGCGTTGCTGCTAGAGGACTAATTTGTAGTTTCTTGTAGCGCGGCCTCATGCGGATCCCCTTAGCCCCTGATTCCTTTACTTCCCATTTTCCTCAACTCTCCCAACCAGAAAACAGAGAAAACAGCAGCTAGTATTTATGGAGTTCTGGCTGTATACCAGGTACCGTGCTGAATATTCTTTTCTAAAAGTTCTACGTGATGTAGATGAAGAAACTAAGGCTTAGAGATGTTAAGCAACTTGGCCCAAGGTTACATGGCTAAGAAATAGCAAGTCTGGGGCTAGAACTCAGATCTTTCTAACTCATTGATTCCTAACATCTTTTTTTTCATTATTGCCCCCCTAATAAGAGAAAAGTTAAAATTTAAATTAAATTTTCTTTCTGGCGAGGAATTAAATACTAAGGAATAAGATTTTGTTGGGTAAGCATGAGCTTTAGGTCACAAACCGCTGTAATATCAAAGATGTTTTCATCTCCTTTGAGGACACGTGGTTTCACTCAAATCAGGGGTAGTTAAGGACGTGCCCCTCTCTTGCTGTTTCTCCCCTTCTCTTCTCCCCATTTAAGTGAAGAGCAGAGCAGTTAGACAGATGCAAAAGATATTTTATACTTTTCAAAGTTAATTCACAGATTTCCCATTCTCTACCACTTCTCCAGCCAGGGGACAGTTTCTCTTTTTGCCTCTGGGAAGCCCTGTTAGAAAAAACACCAGACTGGGAGGCAGAAAGCCCATGATCAAGTTTTGGCTTTGCTACCAGCATGCTTCCAGTGGCTTTAGGGAAATCTCTACGGAAAAGGAAGTAACAATCCCTGTTAACTCATGGAAACATTTATTGGGGCTTGAAAGTCTTTGAAAATAAAAGTTTCAGATAGAAAACATGTTACGATTGTTAAGGCCCCAAACCAGTGTGCAGTCTGTCTTTTACATCATAGGTGTTCATTAAACAGTTGCCAGAAGAATGAACATTTCACCTTTTAGTTTCTTTTAGTAAAGCAGGTCTTGCCACTGGCACCTATTCATAATTCTTTGCTACTGTTTGTAAGAAACAGAGATGTGGACCTATTTTCAATAAGTGTGTTTTTCTGATCTCAAAATTTTAAATTGAGCCAGCCCTCAAGGCCTAGTGGTTAAAGTTCAGCGCTCACCATTTCGGTGGCTGGGGTTTGTTTCCTGGTCGTGGGACCACAGTACCTGTCTGTCAGTTGCTGTGCTGTGGCGGCAGCTCACATAGAAGGACTTGTAAGTAGGATATATAACCATGCACTGGGGCTTTGGGGAGGGGAAAAAAAAAAAAAGAGAGAGGAAGATTGGCAACAGACGTTAGCTCGGTGCAGATCTTTCCTTGCAAAAAAATAATAATTTAAATTGCCTTTTCCTGCCTTTCAGTTTTATACAGATTTCCCTTTGGTATGTTATATTTTGGTACGTGATTAGTGTTGGTTTTAAAGTATTACTTGAAAGTCCTTGGTTTTCATCACTGGTTCAGGGTAATTTTTGTAGTTTGCTTTCCTGACGTAGAAATGGACCTGACACACAGCCCTCCTCAGGAAGGAAACCCAAGGGCATTGAGTTCTCCTTGGTGGTTGCTATAGAAGCCCAGCTTAGACATCTCCTGGTGATGTTTCTTGTTCAGTATAATGGAAACAAGAATTTGGCAGTCTAGTGTCTACTTTTTTGTAAAATTTTAGAAATTAAGTGGTCATAAAACGTATTTACCATGGGCACTCAGTTTACGCCACAGCTGCCTAAAATAAAAGTTCCCTGTGCTATGAATAGGGAACTCTGTCAGTCCTCAGGGGAGGATTGAGAAAGGATGAGATTTTTAGTATTCAGGTGTGTAGTTGAAAGAGCTACTGCCGTCAGGCAGACATTTACACGTATTTTTAAAATATCTTCTAGCTCAACTCACAAATATTCTCCTGTACCATCCTCCAAAGTTTCTTAACAGGCCTTCCATCTTCCTTTTTTTTTTTTTTTTTTTTTTTTTATTATTGGCTAAGGAAGATTGAAGCCCTGAGCTAACATCTGATCCATGCCAATCCTCTGTTTTTTAGTATGTGAGCCACCAGCACAGCATAGCTGCTAACAGAGCGGTATAGGTTCGCACCTCGGAACCACACCCAGGCTGCGGAAGCAGAGCACGCTGAACTTTAGGCCACTGAGGCTGACCCCCATCTTCCTTTTCATGCTCTCCATACACAGGAGTATTCAACAAAAGCTAACCAGAGCCTCCCGTCCTAACCTAAGCCATGAATGAGAACAGAGCTGCACAGCTTTGGGGTTGGGTCCTACCATCACCTGGCACCTCTTAGAACTCTCTAGGGCTCCACAGTTTATAAACATTGACCTGATCTAGTCCCGTTACTTTACATTTGGGGAATACAAGTCCAAAGAGAAGTGACTTGCCCACTGCACAAGTCAGTAAAACACAATTAGCCTAAACAGGCTGTCATCATACCACAGAATTTCCTAGCATCTCTAAAGGGCTTGGAGCACTGTTGTGTCTGATATCAGGCTGCCCTGGGCCAGATGAGGCAGCTGTTCCTTCATTTCCCAGGACTTTCAGTACAGATTACATGGCTTACTTGAGTTCCCCTAGTGAGCCGTTGGTGGGGCTGTGCCCACAGCTTGGCTCCCTCAGCACACCAAACTCCACAGATGCTAGTTCTCAATGTAGTACGTGATACATGTATTCTAGAAGATAATGAAATGTCAGTGTTGGTTTTGTGTGGCTTCAGAGATGTTTGTACAGTGTTGATGGCAGTCCCCAAAAAGAGAAATCAGTTGAATTAGAAATGAGATGTCTAAGGACTTGATCAATTCATTCTATAGCCCAGTGTCACGGGAAGCAACATCCTTTGGCATGGATGTTAAATAAAATCATCAGACTTGTGAAGGGTTTTTTCTAGTACAACCCCCCCAGTTTTCCTCCTGTCATCCCAGATCAACTGATGGAGTCATCATTTCTGTAGAACACAGCTTCCCAGAGGCTTCATTGAAACCACTCAAGCTCACAAAATGGCCAGGGGAGCATGTCATTACAAGTCAGAGTATGGACCAGCAACAGCCCTCCCCAGCACAGGAGCACTCTTCCCCCAAGACCATGTGCCAGATTAAGTGAATGAGGGGGCCGGCCCCGTGGCCGAGTGGTTAGGTTCACGTGCTCTGCTTTGGCGGCCCAGGGTTTCGCTGGTTCAGATCCTGGACGCAGACCTGGCACTGCTCATCAAGCCATGGTGAGGTGGCATCCCACATGCCACAACTAGAAGGACCCACAACTAAAATATACAACCATGTACTGGGGGGCTTTGGGGAGAAGGAAAAATTAAAAATAAATCTAAAAAAAAAAATTAAGTGAATTAATAAGGACACATCAAACCCAGTATTCTCCTAGGTATTTAAAGTGTAAGGTACTTTTTCCTAAAGTCTTCAGTTGTTTTTCGTTGGTTGTATTCTCTCTTTTCTTGGGATAGCAGAGGAGAGCTAGAGAGCTTTATCTGTAGATGATTATTACCGTTTTTTGCCTGTCACTTGAAGAAAACCCTTTGGACGTCTTAAGAATTTTAGATTCTACCTCAACCATATCGTATTAGCAACAGAAGTGGGCTGAGCATCCACTATTCTACGTGCAGGCCACTGAATAGAAGGTAGACAGGCCCTGCGCACATTCTAGGTACTTAGTAAATTCTTTTTTTTATTTTTATTTTTTTAAGAATGGCACCTGAGCTAACAACTGTTGCCAATCTTTTTGTTTCCTTCTTCTCCCCAAAGCACCCCCAGTACATAGTTGTATATTCTACTTGTGGGTCCTTCTGGTTGTGCCATGTGGGACACAACACCTCAGCATGGCCTGACCAATGGTGCCCTGTCCACGCCCAGGATCCGAACCGGTAAAACCCTGGGCTGCTGAAGCAAAGTGTAAGAATTTAACCACTCGGCCACAGGGCCAGCCCCCAGGTAAATTCTTAATGATTGATTGAATGGGCTAACTGCACTGGTGAGATGAATGGCTAAACCGTTAATCCAAAGGTTATTTTTATCTCAAATCCCTCTTAGTTCAGGCTCCAAGACTTTTTTTTTTTCTGAGGAAGATTAGCCCTGAGCTGACATCTGCTGCCAATCCTCTTTTTGCTGAGGAAGACTGGCCCTGAGCTAACATCCATGCCCGTCTTCCTCTACTTTATATATGGGACTCCTACCACAGCATGGCTTTTGCCAGGCGGTGCCATGTCCGCACCCGGGATCCGAACCAGTGAACTCCGGACCGCCAAGAAGCAGAATGTGCAAACTTAACCATTGTGCTACTGGGCGGGCTCCAGGCTCCAAGACTTTTTAACAACTTCTCTATTCTTCTGTTTTCCAGAGAGATGGTTGCCCAAAGATTGTCAATTTGGGGAGCTCTAAGACAGATCTCTTCTATGAACGCAAAAAATATGGTTTCAAGAAGAGGTGATTGGTGGGTGGCCTCTTCCTTCCCCCATCAAGCTGCTGCAGCTGCCAGAAAAGACGCCTACTACTGCCAGCAGAAAGGGAGCAGAGTGCAGAGCATCACCTGAATTGCTTGCCAGTACACTGGCACCTTTCCGCCCTTTCCTCTCCTCTCACCCAGACACGTGGTAGGAATGGAAAAGGATTCTTCACAGAGCACTCTGGCAGCCTGTATCAGGAAATCGGATACCTTCGTTCATGGTTTGTCTTCACTTCAGGGAGCAGGGCTCTGCTTGCCACATTGCTAAGTTCTCTCTACACCAAGACCTCCTAAAACAGTAATATCATTTCAGTCTATTGTTTGAGGAGCTGACTGTGCAGCCACCCACGGTGAGGAACTTGTTCTTGCAGCAGCTCTGATGGTGGTTGTCCTTGATGAAACACCTGCATTGGGGGAGGGGAAGCTCTCCCAACAATAAACATGGACATTTAATCTTATAACACTTTCCAGGGGCTGCTGGTTCATGTTATTTTTCTCCTAAGAAATTGGAAACCCTTTCTGTTGCTGATGTATCAATAAAGTAGGTGTTTATTTTCTGGTAGTCACTGTCCCAATTTAAGTTTAACTCTACGAATTTATTTTAGTCACCCAGGAATTTGTGATTCAAAATAGACGTACTGGGATTCATTAAGCACCTTGTTCTCTTATGGGAAGGAATTTAAAACCATCCATGCCTTTCATTATAGGTAAACCAAAGTCATTTTTAGAAACTTACTATTTTTTCCTTCCTGTCTAACTTTAATTTTGAACTAAAGGGATGGCTTCCAAAAATGGTAAAGGGAATGAGACAAAATGTCTTCAAATCGATGAGTTAGGAGAATTGAACTTGGTTGATTTGTTTCATAAAGTGCATATATATTCACATTAAGGGTATGGTTTTTCTCTTTTTTTTTGAGGAAGATTAGCCCTGAGCTAACTACTGCCAATCCTCCTCTTTGCTGAGTAACACTCGCTCTGAGCTAACATCCATGCCCATCTTCCTCTACTTTATACATGGGATGCCTACCACAGCATGGCTTTTGCCAAGCGGTGCCATGTCTGCACCCAGGATCCAAACCAGCAAAACCCGGGCTGCCAAGAAGCAGAACATGTGAACTTAACCGTTGCGCCAGTGGGCCAGCCCCTGGGGTATGGTTTTATTTTAAGTAAATTAACAGATTAAGGGCAAATTGAGACATGTCTCTTTTTTTGTTTGTTTGTTTGCTTGAGCAAGATTGGCCCTGTGCTAACATCTGTGCCAGCCTTCCTCTATTTTGTATGTAGGACGCCACCACAGCATGGCTTGACAAGCAGTGTGTAGGTCCAGACCAGAGTTCTGAACCCACGAACCCCAGCCTGCTGAAGTGGAGTGTGTGAACTTAACCACTATGCCATTGGGCCAGCCCCCAGACATATCCTTTACCCTAGCTCAACTACTTTCTGCGTGTTAGAGGTGATAAGAAGTTATCCTGAGGAGGCAGATTCATAATTTGAGACTTCTGGGCAAGTTGATCTTTGACACCGTGGAATTGAAAAAAGTGGCAAATCCTAAGGAATCCAGGAGCTTGGCCCATGGTTACACTGCAACTTAATGGCAAAGCTGAGGAAAGAAATGAGGCTTCTGACTTCTAGGCAGGGTTTTGGTCTAGATCAACAAAACTTGATTCAGATTTGTGATGTATTGTGTCAAAAATTGAATTAAGATAATCTCTGCCTTCAAGGAATTCGGTAAGGGAGCCTGCCAGAAACAGCTCAGTGTAACCCAGAAGGTGCACAGGGGAAGGGTTTGGGGCCCAGCTCGGGGGCACCTCAGGAAGGCGAGGGGAGGTCACAGCCACAGGGCTAAAAATAACCCTTAAGCCTTCCCCATCTCGTCTCTGCCCCCCATTCTCTGTGCTCCAGCCCCAGGGCCTTGTTTCAGTTCCTGAAACTGCTGCTTTCCCCCGCCTCAGTGCTTGCTACCTGTTAATCCCCCTCTAACGCTCCGCCCCGCTTTGCTCAGCTAACTCCTACTCATGCTTCAGAGCTAAATAGTTCCTCAAAATGCTTCTTCCGACCCCCAAGCTAAGTTAGTCCCCCTTGTTATACTCCCACGTAGCACCATAAGCATTTAGTTTACAGCATCTGGTAATTACTGACTGTCATCTACTAGACTGTTCCACGATGGCAGGAACCAAGTCTGTTCTGCCCAGCAGGTAGCAGGTGCTCAGTATTGAATGCATCATTGAAGTCAAAGAAACCAGATAATAAACTAGGCTTTAAAGGATATGTTGGAACCTGCAGGCAGAGGGGGTGGGGTGGGCAGATGAAGACACTTGTGTGGGGGACGCATTTGAACAGGGTGGTGTGTTTGGGGAGCTCTCTGAGCAGTTCTAAAGCGTCAGGTGGGGGTATGGTATGTCAAGAGTTGCCGAGAACAGACCATTTTCACTTAGAATTTGTCATTGATTCTACAGTAACTTTAGTTTTAATGTGTAATATGAGTCAAAATGTTTTGCTAAAATCAATTTTTAAAATTTGCTTATTACCCTGGTCCACATAATATCTTGCATCTACAGTTTCAAAAACTACTCTTTAGTTTCAGCAAAACACCACCTTGGCTCCATTAGCCTCAGCATGTATGCTTCTAAAAGGTCTTGCAAAGAAGCTTAAGATTAATGAATGCCTCTCACTGTCTCAAAGGGCATACCCCCTCCACACTCATCAGCAGTGGAGCAAGTTCAGCCTCAGCCCAGTGAATTCCACTGACCTCTGCTCCTCTGTCACCTAATTTCATAATCTCGTTCTTGGTTTGTTTTCTTCTGAGGCCAAGAGAACAATACAATACAATGAATGAGTTAAGAACACCTGAGATAAAGTAACTGGGCTTGAAGTTCAAATCTTTAATTATTGTCTGCCTTGAACTTTAGAATAAATCCTTTTCAATTTTAGAAATTAGGATAATGATAATACCAAATTCTCTGTTAGGAAAACATTCCTTACAAGCTGAATTTTGAACTCTAACAGTGTACAGTTCTGTGAAGAGAATTAGAATAATGATCTCAGCCAACTGCATGGCCACAAAAAATCAGAATAGTCTTAAAAATTACAGTTTTTTTCCATTGTTGAAATAAGCACTACCTACGTAAGTCTAGTTGAAATAATTGAATTCATCATGTTCAGCCTGAGAAAGTGGTTCCCTTTCCTGGACTTATGATTACTATTATTTATTAAGTATGCAGCATTTGATATGTATTCAGTTCTAGGTTCTAAAAAAGATGGGCGTCTTGCTTCCAGCTTCTCAAGTACACTCTGTACACACGTGGTAATTTAATCTCCTTTAAGCACTATTACATGTGCTCTTGCTCAAAAAAAAGTGTAATGAGAAATGTGTGGGCTTTATATTACCGACCTATATTTGAATTCTGCTCTGCTGTTGACCATTAGTGAGTCATTCAGCCTCTCTGTGCTGTTTTCTTATCTATCACATAAGAATAATGCCTGCCTCTTCTGGTTGTAAGGATTGAATTTGACCTTTTAAGTGCCTGACCCTTACAGGTAGGCTTTACATAAATGATAGTTCTTTTACCATGGGTCACTGCTTCTTCATAGATAAACATTTAAGTCCTGGCTTTGACGGTCCTCCGAATGGTTCCCTCTCTCCCCTGTCCCAAGGTTTTCCTCCACTCCTGTGTGCTCATCAGGCAGGTGAAGGGACATTCCTTGCAGACGCCCTGTCTTCTTGGCTCTCTGTTTCCTTTGTTTGAAATATCCTTCCACCTTTATATCAGCCTGCCAACTCGGTACCTCTTCCTTGTAAGCTCCTAACTTCACATGAATGCTTCCAGATACACCAGACCCCACAATCACCTCTCACTTGGGCTATTTTCATGCCTAGTATATATGTATAACAGAAACATAAGTTTCATGAAACGATATTTACTGTGTATTGCACTGTGATATTCTCATTTTATTCCATTCTGTCCTAAAATGTCTGGCTGAAATCCATGAAGCCAAGTGATTTTATGACCCCACTAATGGGTCATGACCCACAGTTTAAAAACTAAGCTAGATCCTAAGATCCTTGAGCTCCTTTTGCCTCTCCCTCCACTGCAGGGCATACAGTAGGCAGCCGCTCAAACACTTACTGCACTCAACAGAAAAAGTGGTCACAAACTCAGGAATCTGGGTAATATAATTGATTGTAAAGGGAGGGGGTGTAAGAATAGCCCGAACAAGATAAGTGGTATGTGACTCTCGGCCTCAATGTCTGGGAGACAATAGGGAGTGGTGGGGACCTTGGGGGAACCAGAGAGCACAGGCTCTGTCTAAAGGAGACAGCTGCCATTCGATTCCAATTGCCAGCTTGAACGCCCAGTGTTACCAGATATTTGAATTTAGGACAAGTGGCAAAGTAAGGTATTTTTGTGCAGTCTTTAAATTTTTTAATGTTGTCAACCATTTTTAAAATTTTACTGTGTCAGTATATGCCAAGACAATACGTCCACCAGATGTGGACCTTGGCCTGCCAATTAGGAGCTTCTAAATTAAGAAAATTAACTTCCCAGGGAATCAAACTGAACTGACTAAATTTCAGAGATTGTATGTCACTCTCTTCTGACCTGTGGCTCTTTAATAGTAGTTTGAAGCTAGGCTGTAAAGGTGAAGGATTCTTTGCCTTGGTTGGAATTTTCCTGCCTTAAAAAAAACAAACTCCAATTCCCACCTCTTCCCAGTTATTCAGTTCCTTATTAACTCTATCTCCAGGTGGCCTGTGTGCCACTACCAAGGCTAAAATGTTCCTTTCTCCCAACACTGCAGTTTGAGTGCCTTAGCGAGAGCCAGGTTTGTTCACTTACCTTGTTTACTAGAATTCATTCACATCAGTCAGTGGTGAGTAAACAGCAAATCATTTGCCCTCAGCATCCAATCACTCTTCTCCAAAGCCTGTTTCTGTTTTGGCTGTCTTTGCTCCTGCCCAGCTGGAGCAGTGGAGCTGAAGAATCAAATTCACGAAGTATTTTCTTGGATAACTTAAACTACAAAATTTCTCACCCCGGCAGGCATGTGTGTATGGGAGAGTGACTCACCCCTGAGAGTTAACTGGGGCTAATTATGACCAGCCTGACTTGTCACAGCACCAAAACATCTGGCATAACTTGCTTACCCTCAGACAGGGGAGTT